TGCCCCAATACTTTTGGCAATAAATTGTATGTACCAGTTTTGTATATGGATGCACAGATACCAGATCAGCACTACGTTCTTCATAGCGTGTCTGTACCATGTTTCCGAGCAGATTTACCTGACCATGCTGATCTTTGCATTAGATGCTTCCTTTGCTCCAGAGGTCGCTTTGGCACTGGCAGATTTGGAAGGTGGCCCTTTAGGTATAATAAATAAGATTAGAAGTCGCAGAATAATACAATAGAGTGGAGCATATGGTGCGGTGTTAGATTTCACTAGAAACAAAAGTGAGTGTACGTAGAGGGGGGTCTTCTGCTGACCCGGTGTAACCTCTGAAAGCCATCTCAGCATGACACCAAAAAAAAAATCAATTCCATCCAATAAAATGTCAGATTATTAATGGGCTCGTGTTATACATAGTACTTTGCAGTAAGACGCAAGAATTAGAAGGATTACAGGGTTAGCAACATAATTAAAGGTAACAGTGTGCTCAGAATGTTACAAGGTCATTGGGACATAAAGGAGCCGGGCTATGATAATAGGATGCTGCAGTGATAATAAGGCAATGGGAAGCCAGGCCATTGTCTTAGCATTGTACTGGGGTAATAAGACTCACAGGGGCTGGGTTACTAGAATCCAAGGTTACTGGGGTAATAAGACTCACAGGGGTGGGTTATTGGAAAGCAATGTTACTGGGGTAATAAGACTCACATGGGGTGGTTTATTGGAAAGCAATGTTACTGGGGTAATAAGACTCACATGGGGTGGTTTATTGAAAAACAATGTTACTGGGGTAATAAGACTCACATGGGGTGGTTTATTGGAAAGCAATGTTACTGGGGTAATAAGACTCACATGGGGTGGTTTATTGGAAAGCAATGTTACTGGGGTAATAAGACCCACAGGGGCTGGGTTATTGGAATGCAATGTTACTGGGGTAATAAGACCCACAGGGGCTGGGTTATTGGAATACAATGTTACTGGGGTAATAAGACTCACAGGGGCTGGGTTATTGGAATACAATGTTACTGGGGTAATAAGACTCACAGGGGCTGGGTTATTGGAATACAATGTTACTGGGGTAATAGGACCCACTGGCATTGGGTTACTGTAACTTGATGTTACTAGGGTAATAGGACACTGGGAAGCTGGGTTACTGGAATATGAACCTACAGGTGTAATAACACACCACACGGGAGAGCTGAGTTATTATGATATGACGTTACCAAGGGAACAAGACACTTGGGAGTTGGGTTACTGTCATATGATTTTACTGGGCTAATAAGGCTCACTGAATTTCTTTCCATTATATACAAGCGCTATGACACTTTGAAGATGGATTACTGTAGAATAATAAGACATTCAGGAGTTGGGTGACTGTTGTATGATATCACAGCAGTAAGTTGCTTTTTGGAGCTGCATTACTATAGGGTAGAAACACATTCGGGAGCTGGGATATGGTTAGGTGATATCACGGGGGTATAATGCTTTGGAGGTGGATTACTGTGTAGGGTAATAAGGCACTCAGGTGTTAGGTTACTCTTATATTATAAAAGGTATATGACTTTTTATAATATAATATAGCACCTTTACCAGCTGCCTTAGGGTAATAAGACATTTGGAAGTTGGGTTACTGTTATATGATATCGCAGTACTATGGCACTTTAGAGCTGAGTTACTATGGAGTAGTAGGACATCTGAAAGCTGTGTTACCATTCTAAGATATGTAAAAGCAAAACCGGCCCGAAGCAGGTCAGCAGCAGGTCAAATTCACCAACAATCTCAGAAGTACCTCTAACCCTTTGACACATGCCCAAAGTCCATTGACACGGGCCCTTAGGGCTCCCAATGATTTTGTGTCTATGGGCTATAGACGCCGGGATCTAATCCTTTATAGGGAGAGTAATGGGGTGAAGAGGCACTTACCTGCAATTCTAGCGCTCGCTGGTCGGGGGCTATCTGTAGCTGTTTTAGGAGACTGAGATGGACTTGCAGTTTTCACGTTTCTGGTCGCAATGGGTCTAGAATTCGCAACTTTATTTGTAGGCCCCCCTTTGACTTGTCCATTGGTGGAGTCCATTTTGACTGAACCTGTGGAGGTGAAGGACATGGCATTAGCTAATGATACATCGCATATGTTGCTGCTTCCTTCCAGGTTTATCACGGTCTTGCTGCTCCCCTCCTGACACCCCCGTCCTCAGTCATAGGCCTCTGAGACTGTCAGATGGAAATGCCCAAACAGCCTGAATGGGTTTGTCTAATTGCCCCATCCCTCACCTGAAATGCTATGTAAAGCAGGACTATGGTCAAAGGAAAACCCCACATATACCATGTATTCGTCAATAGTAATGACACAACAAGTCTTGTTTTTATAATTCATATACAGGATTTATATAAATCCGACAGTTATCAAAATAAAGGGAGACGGTACCGTTACAATACGATTCAATATGGAGGAGGGTTAGGAGGACCCTTATTCTGAGAGGTTACAGTCTAATGCAGTGGTTCTCAACCTGTGTAACCTCAGGACCCACATTTTCCCTTGGTCATTAAGTCGCGACCCAAGTCGCACTGCAATGGAATGAACGATATTAGGGTACCGCCCATTCCAGTGCGGGCGTACGAGCATTGCTTGTGCAGCTTACTTGTGTCCCCTGTAGAGGTGCCGGGAGACAGAATGTGCCGGGCCAGGCACCTCTATAGGACACGTGAAGGAGCTGTAAGCAATGCATGTATGGATGGAGCTCCCTCGTGGCCATAGTTCCAGCCCACCCTACCTCAAGCTGACACTCAGCACTGGGCAGCATATTTTGAATGGCTGCTTGGCGCAAGAACTGACAGTTGAGGAGCCTCTCACCTAGAAAAGTGGAAGGCATGACCCACTAGTTGAGAACCAAGGGTCTAATGGGAGGAGCAAGCAATAGGCTTCCCCTGAAGGGATACATTTTCAGGGATCCCCTAAAGGCAGACAGAGTAGGAGATAGCTGGACAGATTGTGATAGGGAGTTCCAGAGGATGGGAGAGGCTCTGAAGGAGTCCCGGAGGTGAACAGGAGGTCTTGGGGGGAGTGGAGAGGACAGTTTGGGTGATAGTTTGAGACAAGGTTGGGGATGTAGCTTGAGGAAAAGTTGTGGAGGGCTTTGTACAATATTAGCATTTAAAATTTAATTAATTGGATGAATGGAGGCCAATGAAGGGATTGGCAGAGAGGGGTGGGGGATGGAGGCCAGTGAAGGGATTGGAAGAGTGGGGTGGGGGGATGGAAGCCAGTGGAGGGGTTGGCAGAGAGGGGCGAGGGGATGGAAGCCAGTGAAGGGATTGGAAGAGTGGGGTGGGGGATGGAAGCCAGTGGAGGGG